CAGCTTGTCAACAGTTGAAAAATCAACAGTTGAAAAATCAAGCAGGTACATGGTTGAGCGTCCTCAACCACTTCCCTTCCAGTGACCCAGCTTCGTTGGATCAGGTTAGTCACTGGAAGCCTGATCCCCCTGCCTCTTTTTTCCGCGCTGAGTATATGTTAGTAGCGATACCAGGAGCCCTTAGTAGCAAAACCTGGGGCCCTAGTAGCGTTCTTTGTGACTCAAAACCTTAGGCACAGGTGTGGACATACACACACCCACACGCTCTCACACACACATGCCCATACAGACGCAGAATCATGTCCACACAGCAACCGCACCGCCACATGCAAACACACGTTTTACGTGTCTAGCCTTTCTTTCGCCTTTCTCATCATGGCCGTCAACACTGAGGCCACTGTTTTGCACCCACGAATGAAAGTCTAAAACAAGCAGCGTCTTGAAACAATGTTGACTGCACCGCTTTTATTGGTTCGTTCTTTGCGGCCGTCGAATTCTCAAGAGCGATCTGTTCCAGGAGCCGGTATTCACTGGCATCTTCTTGGTGGCCCACCCTGCACCAACCTGAGCATGGCGTGGGCCTCATATAGGTTCGAACTCCGGCCTTCGTCGCTCTAGGTTTGGTGTTTGACCACGTGGTGGGAACATCAAGCAGCGGCTTTGGACGAGGAGGCGCGGGGAGACATGAGTGTTCCCCACGGCATTTTTTCAAAAGTTTTGGTTTTGGTTTTGTTGGTTGTTGTTGTTGTCGTTGTCGTTGTGGTTGTGGTTGTGGTTGTTGTCGTTGTTGTTTTTGTAGTTGGTTGTTGGTTGTTGGTTGTTGGTTGTTGGTTGTTGGTTGTTGTTGTTGTTGTTGTTGTTGTTGTTGTTGTTGGTTGTTGGTTGTTTGTTGTTGTTGTTGTTGTTGTTGGTTGTTGGTTGTTGGTTGTTGGTTGTTGGTTGTTTGTTGTTGGTTGTTTGTTGTTTGTTGTTGTGGTGGTTTGTTGTTTGTTGTTTGTTGTTTGGTGGTTGTGGTTGTGGTTGTTGTTGTTGTTGTTGTTGTTGCTCGCATTCGATGTGGTGCTCCAGGAGGCTGTTCTGCACGAGGACAGGCTGTTTCATTTTTGCGATGGCGGCGTGTTTTTTAATTTGAATGTCATGGGCCATGGGTGTTCGATTCCACAATCGTGCAGGCCAAGCCATTTGAAGACACTTCGCAAGACGCGGCCTCAGATTACACGGTCAAGCATCATGGTGTTGTCACGGTAGAATGACGTCGTTTGGTTCCTCAGGAATCAGAGTGTGGAATTGGCAGGCGACCGAGAACGACTTTCCGGTTCGCGTCTCAGCTGCTTTTGTTGACGGTCGATAAAGTCATATGACTAAGCATGATTAAGCGCTAAGATTGGATAGCTGACACAGGCAGTGCTGAAGACTTTGCAACGAAGTACGATACTCCCGACAAGTTCTAGTTCTACTCCAACCAGCCCATCTCAGCTCTTCCTGTTTGCAAGGCAAGGTTCGGAATGAGACGCTTGGATGCAACTTTACTCCGTACCTGTTGAGTCAACTCCGCCGGTCATGTCAGTGGGCATGAAATGCATGGATGAGGGCTATGATTTCGTTCGGAGGGCTGGAAAGGATCTGTATTTGCAGAAGCTTGACGGAACCAATTCGTCTGATAGTTCGACGCTAGGTGCCATATGTCCCGTCAAGTCCCAACGGGGAACCCGCAGCCGAGTCCTAACCTCAGAGACTGCTTGTTGAGCTGTGCTGCAGTAAGGAGTCTAAGACCGGAAGGTCGCTGCCGAATGGCGTGAAAACCAGGGCTCCGTGTGGAACAAGCTGTCAACGCCTTGCCTGCCCTGAAAAATAGGAAGGTTGTCCTCGATCTTGTCTTGGGAATGCAGATTCCGCCGACTATGACTATGTCCAGCACTACACGCGAGAAATGACGCGCCTGTATTATGAGGCTTTCACCAGGCATCGTGTCATGGCTATCGACCCAACGCCCATGATCATCCAGGCAAGGAGGTATGAGGGCGTGCGCATGGACGCCTCAGAGTGCTCCAAGACTGCGGCTTCTACCTTTTGGACGGCAGCGATCGTATTTCATTACAGTTCCTTCGGAGGTTTCAAGCAGGCCCAAGATTGAGCAGATTGCGCTTGTGGTGGAAGGGGAGGCCTTGTTCAATGAAGAGATCACCAAGACCATCTTCGGCTACCCCACTATCACTATCTCTGAGGTACGTCACAATCTTAATGGAATGCTCGGTCTCGCACTTCTCAAGTCTTTCCGTCCCCTTTTCGACCCCCTGCAAGAAGGGAAGTAGACCAAGGCCCCAACCATTGGGTCCCCACATGAAAATATACACCCATTAACCCATTTTCAGTGAGAGATAGTAAAGCCTCACTAAAACTTTGTGTTTGACTGCATGATTTGAAATCATCCACCCACAGTGGATCAACAAAGGCCCCTTCGAACACAGGGTGGACGTGCGCATGCCAACTGGGGGATGGGTCAAAGCCTGGAGCTTTGGTGCTCCACATAGCTTGACCTTCGTTGGTAGGTCTCCTGGTGCCATGACCCATAGCTAGGTCTAAGTGAGCGGATTCTTTTTGACTCCCATTGAAGATGGTTTTTCGAGAGGTACGTGAAGGGTTGTTTAAGAAGAGCCCCTGAGAGAAAAACCACCCCATGGCCCATGGCCGGCGCCTGCTACTTGAAAAACTCTCCACGTCCGGAAGTCAGGGTCGGATCGCGTTGACCCCCAGATCACCTTCGCCTTTTTCTGAGGGAAGTACGGCTCCCTGCTGATGGCCTGGAGACGATTGGATCGGCACGCCAGCGGCAAGCGCGGGGACCCGGAGGGGCGGGGAGTCCGGGAGAGACGGGGACAGAAGCGGGGAGGGAGACGTGGGGCCAAAGAGGAGCTGTGAGGCGGCCGGTGGGCAGCCGGGCAACCGTCCCATGATGGAAGTGGATGCCCCGGGAAAACCGCTCTATGAACAGGGGTGTCATCCACGTCCATGGAACGTGAGTGGGAGTGTATAGGACAGAAACCATCTGCTCGTGCAGGGTCTTTTACGGCAGCCAGAGCTTTGCAAACCACCGGCTATTAATGGAAGACATCCTCCACTGCTCCAGGCATACCAATCACTTTGTACTAGCTTCTTCACTGACTTGGGGAGTGGGTCCAAACCTAGACACAAATACATCAGCCTAAGACTCCAGATGTTGGGCCACGTGGGTGTCTCGACCCCGAGAAGCAGGTTGGGTCCGGTCCCTTTAGCAGGTGACGTTGGGGCGTTTTTTTCAGAGGGTCTCCCTGTTCGTTCGTCCGATGCTTGGGTTCCTTTTATACTCCTCCGCTCCGGATCTGTGGCTTCCAGTACGTTCCGAACGGACCGAACGAAGACTCGGAGCAATACCAACAGGCTGTCCGAAGACCAAGTCCAGGTGGTTTTCACACTCACTCAGTCCACACAAAGCTATTCAGGCAGTTGGTCGAATTCTTCCACGGACTTTCGTCGACAGACCGTCATGGGACGCTGGATGCATCAGTTTCCAGACTTGGTTGAAGGACACATCTAGAGGAAACTCACAGTTTGGGTGTGAAAACGGTGGAAACCATGGGACATCCCCATAGATTTCCCCTTGAACCACATCCATTCATCAGTGGACATTCCCCATGAATTCGTAGGGAACTTCCGCTTCCCTCGCCGGTGGGTGGGTGGGAACCGGTCGAACCGGTAAAGAGAGCTCTTCTGGCGGGAAGGGTCACGACTTCGCAACCGAAAGGGGCAGCTCTTCGTCGGTTTCGTCACATCTCAACCATATTGTTAGACGAGGGTCAGCTGTAACGAGGGGTTGGCATCAATGGAACCCTTTTTTTTGGGAAGTGTTTCACAGTTCGTTTACCAGGGATTTGATGTCCACCCAACGGTGTTCCGGTGTCGCATGGTGAAGAACCAAGCCCGCCAGATATTACTCAGGTTTGTCCCATTGAGCTCCCCAAGTGGCTGTGGGTGATGGCACCAGGGTTGACCTTCCGGTTGACCTCCGCCCGCGGGAGGTCGTGAACTCGCCCCCGGACTGGTTGGTGGACTAGGTCGAGGCTGCAGTGAAGGACCCATTCCCCCAATTCACTGGTCCTGTTCCCATCACCAAGGGCTTCGACTCAATGTATTTCAAGACACAAGGGCTTTCGAATCAGTGTCACATCGGAACCGATGCCATTTGGATGGACACCTCCGCCCCTGCGGAAGAGGAGTTTTTCAACTCGGGAGCAGAAGCGGATTGGTGCTTTCGCAGGGTGCTTGGAGGAATTCCTTTGAAGAGCCTATCATTGTGTGTGCAAAGCAGGGACGGTCAAGTGAGTCAAGTGGCCCTTGAATGATTGATTATGCAGTGGATTTCTTTCCGCGTGACCTTCTCCCGGGTCAGAAGACCTCCAAATACCACTTGAGGGAAAAGACATTGCTCGGGCTTGGCTTGGTCGTCTTTTTGGAACAGCTGTGGCCCCAAACAGCTTCACAGCTTGGCCAGCTTGCACGCCCGTCGCCGCTGGCCATGCCCGCGCCGAGTTTCGAAACGCGTGGAAGACACAAGAAACACATGGACTTCTTGTTGTGGGAAAGGAGGCCCTCTGAGGAAATATATAGGTAGGTTTGTCTCAACAAGGGAATTCCAGAAGCTCTATAGGAAGTAGAAGGGAAGGCAGACGAAGACATCAGCTCCAGAGTATAGACACAACCACCATGTGTGGCCCACCCACATTCTGGGTTCAACATTGAGCTATATTGCCAGACTGATCAGCTGGGTCAGCTCCCACAGAGGATCAGAGAGCCTTCTGGGTCCCACGGTCCTTATGCACGAAAAGTCTCAACATCCACTCGGAGGATGCTAGAACTATATAGGCCTGCACTACTAAATGGCAGCACTCCGGAGGTTCCACAAAATGGGCGCGCAACGCGTTCCAAACCAAACAGAAAGGACATGGCATATCCTCAACCAAAACGTACAACGCACACTCTTCGCGCTCTGCATGGTCGAAAACACGAATGAGATGGTTTGCGTGGAAAGGGGCAAGGAGCCGGACGGCACCGGGTGGGTGGCTGGGCTGAATCGGTGCGAGGACGGCGAGGGTCGAGAATGGGGCAAAGCACACTTGAAGAGACATGGTTTGGTGGAACTGCTGGCAGCTGGGTAAAGCAGACTTGGTAGCTACGATCGGGGCTCCTGGCATCGCTACTAAGCCTTACTACCAGAAACAAGGACGCTACTAGTAGCAAAAAGAATCGTTGCACCTCCGGGATTTGTTGAAGAAATGAGCAGCCGCTAGCAGCTATCACTTACCGAAATGTGTGGTCTACGCTGAGCTCAACATATTCAAGGTCACTTCGTCGTCCATGATTCACATTCAAACACATCCAGTAAAGCAACATGGGAGGAGTCAGAGGCTCGTCTGCCAGTTTCTATGTGGTTTTTGGGAGTCTATGGATAAACCAATGAACCACCCTGGAAGGCCGTACAGAAAACACTGCTTGCAACCAGTCTGACGTGTTGTTGAACATTTGCCACAGCTGAGGTGAACACGGAGCAGCCCAAAGGTCGGGCCCAAGCGGAGACGGGGGGAGATAGTTGGAGACCATCTTCACTCCTGGCTGAAGAACAAAAGGTTTGTTGGAGATACCGAGATACCACACTGGTTCTATCAGTCGAAGGCCTGAACACGGTATCTGATAGTCGACATGTTGGCTTTGGGGCACTGTGACTGTGCGGGTACAAACAGCTTGAAGCTTGAACAGACTTCGTTCTGGCTTTGCCACATGACATCAACGTCTCATGTGGCATGTAAACTGGCCAAACACGTTTGCATTTTTCTCAACAGCACCAGAATGAAGGGGAGGACAACTTCTCTTGAGACAACGTACGAAAGTAGATGGTTCATGCGGGTGACCTTTTCAAGAGTCAGACAGGGCTAGACCCACTTCAGAGTCAGGACAAAAACCCTCCTAGTAGGGCGTGCCCGCAGTCAGCACCAGTTGGAGAAGCTCTTTAGGTCACCAGAGAGTGTTGGATGTTATTTATATATTTTATATAATCATTGCCATTGCCACTCCTTTGGGGTGCAACTATAAATAACCAATTACCATATGACTCCTATATAATTGTCTCTTCCTCCTCCTCCTCCTCCTCCTCCTTACCATCCCTCCCGTGGCACTTCGTTGTGCAGGCCAGGTCATCGGAAAGGAGGAGGAGGAGGAGCCTCAGGTGGGGCCGGGGACCGTCCGGCGTTCGACTCTGTTCGACCGTCCAACAGCGCACTGGTCGTGGCCCAGCTCGGAGACCAAGTTCCCGGAGTTCGCTCCGAAAGGACGCTTCTTGGAAGCTCCTGGTTTAGGGTTTAGCAAGTCGTGGTTCTGCTAAACTCCACCGGGTAGACCTTGCTGGTGCGAAGCACTCGCAGGTGGGTTCGACCGGTGCGGCGGTCCAGCCTCTTCCAGGTTCCCTTTTTCTTCGCAAAGACCTGAGTATAGTGAGCACGACCCAGTGGGAGCACAGAGGTCATTAGTCTCATGAGGTTGTGACCTCCCAGTTGTAGAAACGAATCACCCAAACACGGGACGCTGGATGTTCTGTTAGAAGATGAACAGGGATAAGTTGTCCCCCAACCGTGTAGAAGCACTGGGTACAGAGAAATCCATCGTGGAGGTGGGAAATGGACGAACATGGTTCTTGGATGTCCGAGCCTTCTGAGCTTGTTTGTTGTATACGCTCCCTGAACTGTATCATGGAAAACCACGGATTTGGTATTCGGAAAAGGGTCATCCGAAGATCGGGGGCCATGCCCGTCCACTTTCATCCTTCCAGGGAGGGTACCCCTCCAGTCAAGTACAAGCAAAATGACGCTTCCAACATTTTTATCGCCACCCCGCCCGAAAGACCGACTCTCCGCTCGGCGCTCCGCAGGGCTCCGACCGCAGGGCTCCGACCGCAGGGCGCACGCAGAGCCCGCACCGCTCTCCGCCCGCGCCAGAGGAGGATGAGACAAAGACGCTCATCGGCGAGGCGCCGGTCCCGAAGGTGCCTGTCAAGGAGGAGAAGGAGCGCGGCGTGGACTCGCGTGGATCCCGGTCGACGAGCGTGGTGTCGGAGGATTGGAGGATTTGCGGGTTGTGGTGGCAGCGTGCTCCTTTTTAGGGGGGTGTTAGAGGGGGAGATGTAGGAGGGAGTGACGTATAGGGGATCGGGTTAATCATAATATGTATCTACTGTATACCAGGACCATCCAAGGGGTGTCCAATGGACTACCCTACCCTACCCTACTTAGGGATCTCCATTGGACACCTCTTGGATGGTCCTGGTACTTATAATTAGAAGTAGAATCGGGAGATTGAGAGGCTGTACGTGGGGCGCTTGGTCCTCGCCAGGATGCCTCGCCTCGCTTCTTGGGCGTTCAGATGAAGTGGGTCTCCTTGGCGGCGCTCACGTAGCTCCGAAAAAGGGATGAACGGAGAGGGTGAGGGGGGGGTCTAGGGGCGTCTAAAGGGCAGACATGACGGGCAGACTGAGGGTTTGGAGTGCCTGGGTTCGTGTAAGCTAAGGATGCCTGGGTTTTGGAATCATTGGATGATGACAGGGCTTGGAGGTCTCAAGTCGTGGATTGAACTTGCGTGTGTTCTTTGCACGCAGCAACCGGGTGGCCTTCCGGAAGCGGGTGGCCTTCCGGACACCGGAGACCATGTTAGGCCGTTGGGGACCACCAAGAGCAGAGCAGTTGACGAAGCGAGGCGAGAGGCGGACGCGAGAGGCAGCACTTGGCCCTGTTCACCCAGAAATTCAGCCATGGGCGGCATGATTTCAATGCGAAAGCTCCAAAGAACCGATCCTGCTTTGGCACTCGATGCCGGAGGGCGATCTGTTGTTTGCGACTTCGAGGAAGTAGCAACCAGCCGCGGCTGTGCTGGTTTTGCGCCCAGAGGGGGAGGTGGTTGTTAATTCCTGGCCACTTCTACAAGGTTGCAGGTGTAACACCAGCACCTCCGAAAAAAATGAACAAAAACACAAAACCGCAAAGTCTTTTGCCCTAAGGATCATTGGACCCTCCTATGGAAGGTTTTGACCCTGCATAGCAGGGGTTTGGACCTCAAAACCTTCACCTTTAAGGGTCCTCGACTCTTGGGTTACTGACTATATTATTCTATCTTTTCTTTTTGAAGCGGCTCAGAAAAAGTGAACTTTCCTCTCATTCCCCTCACCAACCGTGTCCGTCCTCCTTTCACCTACCAGCCCCCCACGGTCGTCTTCCACTTTCTTCGACCTCCGTCCGATCCGAGGTTACAAACCACCGGCCAAGCGTTGCTAATTAAGTGGGCCGATGCACATGGAAAGAAGGCAGGGGGGAGAGAAGAGGTCCGTTCTCGCGAACGCGAAGCTTCGTCCGGGTCCGTCTGGGTCTGTCCGTCTCAGGATTGGGAGGTCAGACTTTCTCCCACAGATGGAAGTGCTCGGTCGACCGTTAAAACAAGGGCTCACCCCTGGTTCGAATGGGCTCACCCCCTGGTTCGAATTCTAGGAAGTGGATGTTCACCCCCTAAGCACCACCGCAAAGGTGGCCGTCGGGACATATCTTTGGCAAGGAAGAACATTGAGATTAGGGAGGGGTCCTGGCTCAACTCGTACCTTTGGTCAATCACTCTGACTCGTATCTTCCTGCTGCCCACACAGTACCAAACACCTTTTTGCAGAGTTCCAGAGGTCCTCAAAGGATCTCAAAGGTAGAGATCCAAACAGCATCCAATCATGCGGAAATTCCGACCCCGCACACCACGCGGGGGCCGAAGGAGGCCTTCCCCGAAGCAATTCTGCAGAGGCCTCCTTCTCTTCTTGGATTGCTGTTTTGTTTGCATTCTGATTCATATGGAGAGATGAATCCACCTGGTCCATCCGTCACCGGTCGCCCATCTCTGGGGAACCGGACCCTCTCGGACCCCGGTTGTGAGGAGTACCTGCCGAGCACCGTGGTCTTCTGGACGGAAGTGGTGAAGCTCACAACGAGCGTCCTACTGGTCGTCCACGAGAGCAGCCGCCTGGAGTTGGTCTCGGTCCAGGGCTTTCTGGGTCCGGGGTTCACCGGTGAACGATGTTAAGACCGCGAAGAGGTTCTTTGAAGGTTGGACCAGCCATGTACCCGACCGGTTCGTGTTCTTGAATCTTACCAGTATGTGTTTTTAATAGCTTCGGAGGATTGGTCTTCACTTCTCAGTTGACCACTTTCACATGGTGCGTGCGAACGAAACCCAGGAGATCAGCTTGTTGGATCTGCCCGGTTCGGCGATATGCGCCATTATGTTGTCAAGGCACAACAAAACCTTGTACTGGGACAGGGCTTGGCAGTCCCGGTTTTGCGGAGCATATTATTGGCGTGGCTGCCTTCCGAAAGATCTGAGGCAAGACTTGGTTCTTTGAGTGGTGGAGAAGGTCGTCGTGAGGGAGCTAGTCGAAAGCTGATTGAACTGAGGTTTTATACATTTGATCTCTACAGGAAAGGCCATCGCTCTTAGGTTGGAGGCCATTGCTATTGGATTTGATCTCTACAAGAATGGAACCAAGGGAAAAACCTTTTTGCTCGCTTGTTCCAAGAAACCCATGCGACTCAAGTCGTGGGTTGAAAGACTTGGAGTGGCGGTCCTTCAAAGAGAGTGAAAACACTGGGGGGGGGTATATACCATTGGTATACCTGCTCGAACCCATCATGCTTCTTCCTACACTCTTTCGTGACCTAGGCTGCGTTTTTCCGCGGTTTTGGATCCGACACCAAGGCGGCACGGTCCGCGTGTCCGCGCGGCCGTTACTTCGCCGCCGGTGGTTCTCCGCCCGAGGTGACGCTCTCAGCGCCTTTAGCTCCATGCAGCCTGGCGGACGGTTGATGGTTCAAGCGACGGCGTGCGAGAGCGGAGGGTCCCCAGAAGACATGGGTGTCCCCGAAGGACACCGGTCGCACATTCGCCACCGTTTTGCGTGTAGAGACATCATCTAACAAAGGGGCCGTATTTCAAGTGCGGGAGGAGTTGGGCCACCTCCTCTGAGGAACTCATGCTGGAGTCTTGCAGCTTCGTCCCCAAAGCCAAGACGCACATGGGGAACAACATGTACGCAATATTATTCCCAGTCCATGGTGACACGTCGTGATTCCAGAAATGCCCAAGTCCGGTTGTTCCACCAGCCTCACAAAATTGGGACAGCTGCACCAAGCCTGCCAAGCCTGCACCTAAGAACACCGCGCACAAATTTCAATCCGCTTTCTGAGGAAGGGGCACTTCACACAGTCGAGGGTGGAGCTGATGAAAGCTGCTGTGCCCTCCTTGATCTACACTTTCCAGTGCCTTGGCGCTTCGAAGACGGAAAAGCGGACGTCCATCGCTTCCCGCAAAAACCAGGTCACAGACCGCAAAGCGCCAGAAGATTGAATGGGGCTGGCAGAACTGGTGAGGGGTGCAGATTTGGTGCTTCCGGGTGGTTCAAGAATGTAGAATTCTTAATGAATCACCCCCCCTCAATTTGGATTGAACCACCTATTCATGATTTCATATGGGCGGTTTATTGCTCAAGAAGTCGACACTATGGATGTTCTTTATGATATGTATATTCTTGTCCAGGTCTCTAGAACCAAGGTGAGTTCTCTTGCTGGTGTTTGATTCCAGCTCCACTTGCTGGTCATCCAGCTGTTGAGCCACTGCGGAGCAACACCCTGGTCCGGACCAACCATTCCTAGTGACGGCAACACCAGGGGAATGATGGGTTTCACCATATTCTACAGGTCTTTGAAGACCAGGGACATCCAGGGACCAGGACTAAGGAAGAGTTGTTACCATCACTTCAACCACTTCAGCCCGTCCCCGTCCCCCCTCCCTCCCTCCGAGCGGTTCGACGCGACGCGACCGGCTGGTTGCGCGATGTGGCGCGATGTGGCCTTGTGGGTGCTCGCCGAGGAACAACCTGATGTTCTACAGCCTCACAAAGTTGAGCGCACCAGTGCAGCAGGTTCTTTACCAGATGAAGATTGTCACCACCGCAGGCGGAGTGGACGGGGGGGTCCATGGCTCCCGAAGAATGACGAACATATTCATGACTCGAAACCGTCACACCGTTTCATACCCATGACCATTTCCTCTATAAAATGACGGGGGTCAACGTACACCATAAAACGTTTTAAGGTACCTCCCCTTGAGGGGGTTGGGTGCCAATTTTATAGAGGATATAAATATTTGTGTGTGTGTGTGTGTTATTGTGCGTCATTGAATTTCAGTCTCGCTTTTGAATCGCTCTCTGTTAGTGGCTTCAAAGGAAGGCGCCTTGGCAAGAAGACCTATAAACTGGAAATCTTAGAGAATATATCGATCATTTTATGGTCCAAATCTATTTTATCTCAATTCCTCAGCCATGACAACGCCGTTGTATGAATGTCCAGCTGGATGCCCCTCCACCTTCTCATACGGCAAGAACACATCCTTTTCCCAGGAAAGGGTGATGCTATGGGTTTTGCTGGCAAATTGTAGGTTCCTATATAGGACCACCCCGGAATTTGGTGGAAATCACCGGTTCTTCCACTACTAGAAGAAACACCCCGGAAGTGTGAGCCAGACAAAGATTTGCTGCCAGCTTCATTCAGAAAACAAACATGTCATTGATACCTTCAAAACCTTGCTTGTCAGGCTTCCTGCAGACACACACCTGATGTGGGGTCCTAGCGAAAATATAGAAGTGTAAGAAAAGTAGGGGTCCTTCACTTTATGCCTCCGACCCCGTATGGATCAACCATTTTATGGCTATAGAATCCCTTCTTGGACCCCCCACCCTGTATCGACATGGGTATACCGTTTCTATAGTAGAGTATGATGAGTATGTATAGTAAGTATGCAGAAGTGGACGTTGCCAGGACCTTGCCAGTTAGTGGGGTAGGTCAGGAGGCACCTCGTGTTCATGAGTCAGTCCGGACGTGACCGACTCGGTTTCGCTGCGCTGAGTTTCACCTCCGACCTCGGTGGACTCTCCCTTCTCTCCTATCTTCGTGCGTGGCGTGTTTCCCCGCGTTCTGCGCGAGATGTTCGGTGCGTACGCGAAGAGGTTCTCGCCTTCGCACCCCGAACGAGATCCAAAGGCCTTGGCGTGTTAATGCTGGGGAAGCGGCTGGGCCCTGTGAAGTGGAGTGCCTGCTTCCTCTTGGCCCTTGGCATCATGGTGGTGCAGGTGACCGGCGACAAGTGGAGCGTTAAATGGGGCGGATTCCGGGGTTGGATTAGACCCCTTAGTTTTAGAATATTCAGAGAAGACGTGACATGAAACGATCTATGAACAGAATTGACAATAATTGAAACAATTTTTTGGAAAACAAGAAAGACACTGCAGAGAGCACAGAGTATGATTTTTCTCCAGAGCAGCAGTGGGATTTGGATGACTTGGGTTTCGCAGGTTTTTTTTGACTGGATTATACTATAAATAGAGTAAGAGCTCGCCCTGGCCTGACGGATGGGGGTGGAGGTTGAGGTGATAGATCGCGTGGGGAGTAGTAGTGACACCGACGTGTTTGGGCAAGTTTTGAGTGTCCTTTAGGGAAAGGAAGCATGCTGGGAGTCCCACTGCCATCTCACCGTCCTCCGATAAAAACCATGCAGTAAGCTGGGCGCAGCGTCTCAACAGACTGTTACTTCCACCATTCGAAGAAACATCTTCCCGACCTGTACCCTCCCCCACATGATCTCACTATATATAGTCATTTTTCTCCATGCCATCCACCCTCCATGCAACCATGGAACCGTCGGCTTGGGCTGGATGCTCAAAGCACGTCATCGTTGGAGCCCGGTCGATCGATTTCGACACCTCCGACCGCGCGCGCGCGTCGCAGCGTGCTTCGCGTGTTGACCTCGCCGCGTGGTGTTCGAGTCGCGCCGATGGTGGAACAGGTGAGCCGGAACGCGCAGTTGTCGAAGTCGGACTTTGTACTGGACATCCATTTCGTCGACAGCTTGGAGGATGACCAGATGAAAGGACGGGGAGGGGAGGGACCAAGCTCCAGCTGGAGGTTGGGTCAATGGGAGCCTTGCTCTTTTGTGGATAGATTGGACTTCCGAAAATGACAGGAAGGACTGGACTCACTGGGCCTGGGCTTGGCTGACAATTCCCATCATCTTCCATCTTCCAGACATCCATCCGAAGACTGGAGTCGGCGCCTTCACCGCCCCGCCGCGCCCGAACGTGAGGATTTGCCGCGGTGATCCTGGCCTGCTTCACCAGCGGCTTTGCCGGCGTGTGGATCCAGCGGATGCTGCAGCAGACCAGCGCTTCGGTTCCTCGGGGGACGTCAGGACGATCACGGAGGACGTCAGCAAAGCAGACTGAACCGTGTGAACCGTAGCCGTTTGCCTCCAGCCATTTGGGCTCGAAGCAGCTTCCTCGACAGGAGGGAGCAATGGAGATCATAACACTCTCAGGTGCCACTGTCACAAAGCTTCATGAGGAGGAATTGGCCTACATGGCGGAGAATGGACATTCTGTTAGGGATCTGAAGAAGCTCCTGGCGGATCGAGTTGGGTTCTCAAGATTTCGACAAAGACTCTTGAGTGAAGAGGTGGGTGAGCTACAGGATGATATGCCCGTCAGACAAGCACGAAGCTTGCAGTTGGTAGTCCTGAACTTTTGTGCGCCTGAAGAGGCCGTTTGGAAGGCACTGCTCCATGCGTGTGAGGAAAATCAAGTAGTTCAAGTCACAAGTTTGCTTCAGAAACCACTCGATCCCAATGGACCTGGTGCAGAAACTGACCCCCTACTTATGGCTGTTCCAGCAGAACGAGGTCATTTGGAAGTGGTGCGGTTGTTGCTCGAGGCCGGAGCTGACAAGAATGCGGCCCGGGCAGATGGGGCAACAGCCTTGATTCTTGCAGCATGCAATGGCCACTTGGAAGTGGTCCGATTGTTGCTCGAGGCTGGAGCTGACAAGAATGCGGCGATGGCAGATGGGGCAACAGCCTTGATGCTTGCAGCTGGGAAGGGCCACTTGGAAGTGGTGCGATTGTTGCTCGAGGCTGGAGCTGACAAGAATGCAGCCCGGGCAGATGGGGCAACAGCCTTGATGCTTGCAGCTGGGAAGGGCCACTTGGAAGTGGTGCGATTGTTGCTCGAGGCTGGAGCTGACAAGAGTGCGGCCGGGGCAGATGGGGCAACAGCCTTGATGCTTGCAGCTGGGAAGGGCCACTTGGAAGTGATGCGATTGTTGCTCGAGGCTGGAGCTGACAAGAATGCAGCCCGGGCAGATGGGGCAACAGCCTTGATGCTTGTAGCTGGGAAGGGCCACTTGGAAGTGGTGCGATTGTTGCTCGAGGCTGGAGCTGACAAGAGTGCGGCCGGGGCAGATGGGGCAACAGCCTTGATGCTTGCAGCTGGGAAGGGCCACTTGGAAGTGCTGCGATTGTTGCTCGAGGCTGGAGCTGACAAGAATGTTGCCCGGGCAGATGGGGCGACAGCCTTGATGCTTGCAGCTGGGAAGGGCCACTTGGAAATGGTGCGATTGTTGCTCGAGGCTGGAGCTGACAAGAATGCGGCGATGGCAGATGGGTTAACAGCCTTGATGATTGCAGCTTGGAATGGTTGCTTGAAAGTGGTGCGGTTGTTGCTCGAAAATGGAGCTGACAAGAATGCGGCGATGGCAGATGGGGCAACAGCCTTGATGATTGCAGCTTGGAATGGTTACTTGAAAATGGTGCGGTTGTTGCTCGAGGCTGGAGCTGACAAGAATGCGGCGATGGCAGATGGGTTAACTGCCTTGATGATTGCAGCTTGGAATGGTTACTTGAAAGTGGTGCGGTTGTTGCTCGAGGCTGGAGCTGACAAGAATGCACGGATGGCAGATGGGGCAACAGTCTTGACATATGCGGCTCGATATGGCTTCTCAGGTGGGGCAACAGCCTTGATGCTTGCAGCTGGAAATGACCTCTTGAAAATCTTGGAAGTGGTGGTGCTTTTGTTCCTCGAGGCTGCGGCCCGGGCAGATGAGGCAACAGTATTGACGGAAGGAGCTCGATTTGGCTTCGCAGATGGGGCAACAGCCTTGATGCTTGCAGCTGGGAAGGGCCACTTGGAAGTGGTGCGGTTGTTGCTCGAGGCTGGAGCTG